CCCCCCCCCCCGTGATAGAGTTAAAGTAAAAAAAAAGTGCAAAATAAAAATACATACTATAAAATAGACAAAAAAATGTTTAAATCCCCCTAGCCTCCTTACACATGCACATGTACAGGTATACACAAAAACGACAATTGCACAACACATGTTGGGTATTGCTACACACTCCACAATGAGATAAATCATTTAAGAACCATCATTTATGGTCAACATTATGTAGATGACTTGTGAAGGCTTTGCCTATGGACAAATTTAGGCATTATAGTTTGTTGCCTTGTAGGAAAATAAAGTTTGAGACATATTTGATATCTATTTACTCAACTGTGTCTCATCTCTTATATTTTTCAGAACATTTGGAGATTTTATTGTGTCTGTGTGCACTTAAATTAATTTAAATGTATTTTTATAAAAATATATTGTGTGATATTATAAATTGCATCTGCCATCTTTTTATTCTACAGGGTCTCTGCTTTTAAAAAACATAGATTGCTTGGGGGTTTTAAAGTATAACTAAAAGCAAAACTTTTTTTTTTTTGTTTTGGATAGAATGGAGAGGGATTTTGAGTCCCTGTTAGAGAGATTTGCACTCTCTATTTGTCCTGTTTACCATTATCATTGAAAGTGAAAGTAAAAGAAAATCCCATATTCTGGGTTGTCCCCAGAAAAGTAATAGAGGGGAAATTTTCCAATGGGGACACTGGTTCTGGTGACCTGGGGGTCCCCAAGAGATTCCCTTAATTTTCAAGATTTTCCTCTCACTTCCAGTTTGGCTATGAGACAGGGAGTGAAGGTAAATCTCCCCAACAGAACAAAGATGGTAAAAATAAACCCTACAGGGGTTATAACCCTTCTGTACTCTATCCAAAATGAAGAAAAAAAGTCTTGCCTATAGTTCTACTTTAAGTAATCTTCAGGACTAAAATGTGCACAAAAAATGAAAAACTGGCAGTGAAAGTGTTCATGGGGTGTGTACCAGTGGTCACGGTAGTGGTGGAAAAAACGTAATGTAATGATTTCTGAATTTGGAGTAAGTCAACACACAGAAAATCAATAGATCTATATCGATTAAAATATATGCTTCATTCTACATCTTGACACTGCTGAAATGTAATGTACCACAAATGGTTTTACATACAAGTATAATTGTATAATTGATCAACAAATTTAAAAGCTAACTTCATCCATACGTATAATGTTCCATATTAGAGCGGAACTAAAGCCATCAATTTAATTGTTTCCCAAAACAGTTACATTCAAAGCATGCCATGAAGTATAACTGTCACAATTGTTTCTGCACTCAATCAAACTGCCAAATAATCAAATGGCTTATTTCAGAACTGATCACATGTTCAGCACAATATCAACTGCAGATCATAGAGGCTAAGATGGTTTCTTCTTTAGCTGTAAGAGATAGGAGGGTATTGTTCTGCTTTAATGTTACATGGCCAAAGAAGCTAGATATCCCCTCCAGGATTACTAGTCCTGTTCAACTGTATCGGGCATTACAAAGTCAAATGACTCTGTATAATATGGAGTATTCAAGTGAATATGTAAGTAGTGACACCATAGTTGAAGTCTTTTGGAAAAGACACAAAAAAAGGCACAAAACCATGCCACTAGAATCTCTCACAAAAAGGGGGGAGATTTACTAAAACTGGAGCACTCAGAATTTGGTGCAGCTGTGCATGGTAGCCAATCATCTTCTACCTTCAGCTTGTTCAATTATGCTTTGGTAATAAAACCTGGAAGTTGATTGGTTTCTATGCAGAGTTGCACCAGATTTTGCACTCTCTTCTTCTGATAAATAACTCCCAATATGTCTGCATATCATTTAGTGTACTCTTGTCCTTATGTGCTAATAGAAGTATAATTGCCTAGACCAGTCTTCCTCCAGAGGTTGCTAGGGTGTTCCTTAACCCCGTCATGCCTAAGGGTAAAACAAATCGTAATGCCTAAGCACAATTTTGCACCTTTGACATGTGTTAGTAAAACCGTACATATCATCACAACTACTTTGTACATCCAGGTGGATTATACCTTGCTTTTTTTCAGGACAAATTGCGATACCATATATGCATATGTTATTTGTTGTTTGTACCCGTAGTACAGCCCAGAAACAATAGTGCGCATTTTGGTTTTTTTTTTTTTTTTTTACCTAAAGCACACTGACACTAACTGACACTGATACCAATTTAAAAAAAAAAAAAAATATCCCGACCTTTGACCTTGACCTTTGACCCAAACACTAACCCTGGCACTGAATTAGATCAAAACTTGATCTAGGTATTTTATCTTTATTTTTTATTTTATTTTTAAATATTTATTTATCTTTTTTTTTCCCTTACAAACATTTTTTCCCCCCTCTATGCCAGGAGTTACAGAGATACAATGAATCTCTCTCCTCCATTCATAGAGAGAAAAAAAACCCCAAAGGAGCTGGGCTGTACAGTGACTGATCACTGTGATAGCCAATCAGAGGCTATCACAGCGATCATGTGACCCACGATTGGGAGTCCCGGGTCCCGATCGTTAGAACGGGACTCGGGGCTCTTAGTGACACCTGGGTCTTTGTGCTGGGAGTGTGCTCCCAACACAAAAACAGGTACGCAAATATGCGGCCTCACGGGAAAAAGCCCAGTTCTGTGAGGCCACTTATTTGTGTGACGTTGGTGTGAAGGGGTTAAGCAAGGAGCAATTTCTGCCTGTCAGATAAGTTCCACCTGACACTAATGATCTTTTAAGCTATTTGTAAGGGGGAATTCTCCCCCCCTGTCCATTGCACTAATGTACTCTGAGCTGTATATCTAGCAATTATTAGCAGGGGTTACCCAGGAGTGGAAAATTATCCACTTGAGCCCTGGAAGATGTTACCCCACCTTCATGACCAGGCCATTTTTTCCTATATGGCACTGCGCTACATTAACTGGTAATTCCGCGGTCATGCAGCGAAACAACATTTTTTATCATTTTTTTTTCACACAAATAAAGCTTTCTTTTGGTAGTACATATTTGATCTCTACTGTTTTTTTTTCAATGAAAAAATTAATGAATTGCAGATGATTATAGAAGTGTTTGCGTCAAAACTTTAAAAGAAATACGATATTAGCTTGAAGTAGCCTATTGCAACTTAGATGTCAAATACAGGTTAGAGGGAGGTCAGGAGCTTCTATGAAGTGCCTCACAACGATCTCAGAAAAGTTTCAAACTCATTTCTCCTAGATTGTAAGCTCTTATGAGCAGGGCCCTCTGTTTCCTCTTGTATAATAATAATAAGCATGTTTCATTTTCCCCATCTACACATATCTGAACCTAGGAATAAAAATGTAATATATTACAGCTTACCTGCTAAACTTTTATCTTCTGTGAACTACAAAACAACACCCTTCTATGTAACGGAAATGAGGAAATGTTGGCGAACAGCCTAAGGGGACATTGCTGCTCCAACTATGATGCAGTGGAGTGAGTGTCACCCTCAGACAGGAAATATGTTACTGGCAGGATCAAAAGGTTAAAATAAAGAAAAAAAGTCTGAGAAATTGCAGCTACCACATCTAAAAACTGGTAAACTGGAAGATAATACTTTTTGCTCTTGGGATTAGATACACTTTAAAGCTAACTGTAAAGTGGAGCCCTAACTGTGGTGTCAGCTTTCACAACACCAGGGATTTCTTAAAGTGACTCGATACTCTTGCCACAATGCAGATTCATTTTTCTTATGTGGAGTTTTCTCCTGCATTCATAGTGTCATATCTGTAAACAGAATTTGCTAGGCTGTTTTAGGCGACTCTGAGTGTGAATTTGATGCAACTTTAAGTGCAACTTTGATCCAACTATACACTCTATGGCACTAAGTTGCAAAGTCGCATCAAAGTAGTGCAGGAACCTTTTCAAAGTCAGTGTGACATTACAAATCCGACCAGGTGCCATTGAAAACAATGGGCTGCGACTTTTCAGACCACTTTATGTGTCCAAAGTGGCATGACAAGTCGCACAAGTGTGAATGGAGCCTTACTGTGTGTACTTCTGTAATGTCTCAAAAAACCTCTTTAACTGCTTCCGCGCTGTGCAAAATCACGTATAAATCATGTAAAAATGCAAAATCTGTGGCCTCGACTGTCAATCACTGGTCCCGGATGGTGATTCCCCGCCGGCACCCAGCGATCGCTGAGTATCACCGACAGGGGAGAGACCTGTGTATAAACAACACAGATCTCTCCCCTGTCAGCTCCTGCACACTGCTTTGTATGGCTAGCAGAGCAATACAAAGCAATGTATATAATAAAATTGATTGCGAGCTCAAAGATCGAGAAAGCAGCTGGCACAAAAGGTAGAACCTCTTACCCTTCAAACAATCCAATATATATAAATGCAGCGCTCAAAGTGTCAATAAATAAATAATAAAAAATAGTAATAAAAATGGTAATAATGATAAAGTTAAATGAGGTGGGCGCTATGAAGCGCTAAAAGGTGTTAGATGCATCCCTGGAAGCAGAGAGTGTCCTGTGAGTGATTGGAGTTGCCTTGTGTACCTATGTGTGTGACAGATGATTCAGCCATCCTCGCCTAGACCTAGATGACCACATTTGGATATTTAGATATATGTGCATACCTTTTGTACTTCTGGTGAGTGCATTCATATTACTGGTCCACGTCATAGAGATCACTAGCACGGATCACCGTTATATCTGGACTTGTTTGCTTTGTTATAAGACAACTCACTTTAGTCACTTTTATATCATTTGACTGTAATAGCTGGATGCGTCAATTTTGACAACGCACTATCATTATTATCATTTTTATTGCTATATTTTATTATTTATTTATTGACACTTTTGAGTGCTGCATTTAACCACCTCCCACCCACCATATAGTAATATGACGGATGCAGGGTGGTTCTCTCGTTCTGGGAGGACGTCATATGACGTCCTCCCATTCTCACCACGCATGTTCGGCTCAGGGAGCGCGCAGCGCAGCGATCGGCTGTGCGCTGTGTCCCTTGGACACAGCGGATCACCAATCATGGAAAGAGCTGAAGATGTCAGCTCGGTCATGTAATCAGCTGTGTCCAATCACAGCTGATCACATGTAAACAGGGAAATGCCGGTTATCGGCATTTCTCTCCTCTCGAGCTGTCACACTGACAGCTCGAGAGGAGAGGAGAGCCGGTAATCGGCTTTCCGCAGAGGGGACATGTACACTGACCATCAGGGCACTGATGATCAGTGTGCCCTGATGATCAGTGTAGCCCCAGCAGCTCCACCTGTCAGTGTCCATCAGTGCCTTGTGTCAGTGCTCATCAGTGCCTCATGCCAGTACCCATCAGTGCCACATCAATGCCACATATCAGTGCCTACCAGTGCACATCAATGCCACATATCAGTGCCCATCTGAGCTGCCTTTCAGTGTCACCCATCAGTGCCAGTCAGTGCCACCTATCAATGCCAATCAGTGCCACCTATCAGTGCTGCCAATCAGTGCCAGTCAGTGTCGCCTATCAGTGCCCGTCAGTGCCGCCTATCAGTGCACATCTGTGCCGCCTATCAGTGCCAGTCAGTGCCACCTATCAGTGCCATGTATCAGTGCTGCCTTTTAGTGCCCATCAGTGATGCATGTCAATGCCCACCAGTGCCTCCTCATCAGTGCCCATCAGTGCCACCTATCAGTGTCCATCAGTGCAGCCTAATTAGCGCACCTCAGTGAAGGAGAAAAATCACTTATTTACAAAATTTTATAACAAAAACTAAGAAAACACTTTTTTTTCACAATTTTCAGTGTTTTTTGGTTTGTTTATGAAAAAATAAAAAACCCAGAGGTGATTAAACACCACCAAAATAAAGCTCTATCTGTCGCAAAAAAAAATAACAATTTCATATGGGTACAGTGTTGCATGACCGTGCAATTGTCATTCAAGGTGCACAGGTGATCAAATATCACTGAAAAAAAGCTCTATTTGTGGGAAATAAAGCACATAAATTTCATTTGGGTGCAGCGTTGCTTGACCGTGCAATTGTCAGTTAAAATAACGCATCGCAAAAAATGGCCTTGTCAAGAAGGGGGGTAATTTCTCTGGAGGGCAAATAGCTAATAAAGAAAATTTGATTTAAAACCCAACTCCAGGAAACTTGAAAATTTTCCCTTGCAGTGGAACTGTGCCCACACTGTAAGGGGTAACTGCTGCTTTAGATTTAAAGGGCATAGAAAAGAAGATTTACTTACCCGAATCTCTGCTCCTCTGCACTGTTAGATCGCTGCCCACAAAATCATCTTCCCTTTGCTCCAGTGGTCTAGGGCAGTGGTCGGCAAGCCGCGGCTCGCGAGCCACATGCAGCTCTTTACACGCTTTAATGCGGCTCTTGTGTGTCGGGCGCCCGCTCCCCTCCCTCCTCTCGGGCGGCAGGGACTCTGCAGCGTGATCCAAAAAAAAAAAACAGCCAGGGCAGCGCGCTCAAATGCAATGATTGGCCAGTCTCGCTGCCACTCACATCCTGATAGCCAGTGATTGGCTGTCAGGATGTGTGTAGGCGGTGCAGCGTGACGAACGTGAGAGGAGCTAGGCTCCTCTCACAGTCCGCCCTGAAGACCGGAACGGCGCGGGAACACGGCGAGAGGAACGCACGGAGCAAAGGTAAGTGAATTGACACAGGGGGGACTTGGCTTACTACTTGCTACTTACTTACTACTACTATATGAGGGATGAATTAATATGGGGGATGAATTACTATGGGGGATGAATTACTATGGGGGATGAATTACTATAGGGGGGATGAATTACTATGGGGGATGAATTACTATGGGGGATGAATTACTATGGGGGATGAATTACTATGGGGGGTGAATTACTATGGGGGGTGAATTACTATATGGGGGATGAATTACTATATGGGGGATGAATTACTATATGGGGGATGAATTACTATGGGGGATGAATTACTATATGGGGGATGAATTACTATGGGGGATGAATTACTATGGGGGATGAATTACTATATGGGGGATGAATTACTATGGGGGATGAATTACTATATGGGGGATGGGGGATGAATTACTATATGGGGGATGAATTACTATATGGGGGATGAATTACTATGGGGGATGAATTACTATGGGGGATGAATTACTATATGGGGGATGAATTACTATGGGGGATGAATTACTATGGGGGATGAATTACTATATGGGGGATGAATTACTATATGGGGGATGAATTACTATATGGGGGATGAATTACTATATGGGGGATGAATTACTATATGGGGGATGAATTACTATATGGGGGATGAATTACTATGAATTACTATGGGGATGAATTACTATGGGGGATGAAATTAATTACTATATGGGGGATGAATTACTATATGGGGGATGAATTACTATATGGGGGATGAATTACTATGGGGGATGAATTACTATATGGGGGAAGAATTACTATGGGGGATGATGAATTACTATATGGGGGATTAATTACTATATGGGGGATTAATTACTATATGGGGGATGAATTACTATGGGGGATGAATTACTATAAAAACTTATTGAAACTAAAAACAGTGTACCATCCTATGTATTTTCAGTTTTAAAAATGTGGCTCTCAAAATAAATTTGAAATCGTGGTTTTGGCGAGATTTGGCTCAGTTGCAAAAAAAGGTTGCCCACCACTGGTCTAGGGTCATCAAGACTGATGCAGTGTCCATAGCATGATGACATGGTGACACCAAGGAACAGTCCACTGCCAGAGCAGAGGGGAGTGCTGTCTGCTGGGGGAGCAAAGGATTGGGTAAGTAAAAAGTGCTTTTAGGCTAGGTTCACACCAATGCAGTTTGTGTTTGATCTGTTTCTGTAGTGCTTTTTGCTGTGCGTTTTGCGTTTTTGTACATGTGTTTTTGATGTGTTTTGCATTTTTTAGATTTTTATTTTTGGCAAACTTGTTGCTGGGCAGATTAAAAATGCAAACTAAATCAAAAACGCATTAAAAAACACACCAAAAACACATGCAGCACTTGCATTTTATATGCGGTTCCATTGAAGTCTATTGGACTTCTGAGGGAAAAGAAGTCCCTGACCCTTTCCAACAAACACGCCCGCAAAAACTGCATAGATGTGAATGTTATCCATAGGAAATCACTATAAACGCAAAAAGCATAGAAAAAAACGCACAGGTGTGAACCTGGCCTAAAGCCGGTCATACATGGGTTTTCTTTAGAAAATCTTTTCTGAGAATTTTCCTTTGAATTTCTCACCATTAATGGGCAACAGCAATGGCCGATTTTCGAGCGACCATCGAATTGGAGTGATCGGGCATGTTGGAAATGTTTTGAGAAATGAATGAATTTCTAATCAATGATGAGAGAATCGTGGGAGAAATGTAATTGAAAAAGAAATGAACATGAGCTTTGACCTGGAAAGAAAGGAAAATTCTTGGCCATGAAAATTATTTTCTGTAGCAACAGGTGAAATGAAATGAAAGGCTTGTTTTGGTCAAATTTTGAAATCAGTGGGGGCACCATCGGATTACAAAACGTACAAAATTTCAGATTTTCTAAGGAAAATTTGTTTAGAATTTGACCCATGTATGACCTTCATTACTCTGCCCTAGACTAAATGAGCAGTTAACCCTTACAGTGCAGGTGAAGCCCCACTGCAAGGTAGAATTTTAAAATTTTCCCAGAGTTGTGCGTTAAAAATAATTTACCAGTGCGGATCAAACATCCCCAGTTAAAACTTGCTTCATATAACATACAACTCTACCTCCTCCTCTCCTACTCCTCTTACTGTCGGGGTCCCCCATGGTTCTGTCCTTGGACCTCTCCTATTCTTGATCTACACTTCTTCCTTGGGTCAGCTGATAGCTTCCCATGGTTTCCAATAGCATTTCTATGCTGATGACACACAAATCTATCTCTCTACTCCTCAGATCACCTCATCAGTTTCCTCATGTATCACTAATTTACTAACAGACATATCAGACTGGATGTCACTCCACTTCCTAAAACTCAATCTATCCAAAACTTAGCTCATAATATTTCCTCCTCCAGGTGTCTCTTCCCCTGATTTCTCAGTCAGGATCAATAGCACCACTATTAACCCATCCCTGCATGCCAGGGTGCGAGATGTAACCCTGGATTCTGAACTATCCTTTCAGGTCCACATCCAAATCATCCAAATCATGCCGCCTCAACATCTCCAGAATACGCCCCTTTTTAACCAATGATACCAAAAATCTCCTAAATCATTCCCTGGTCATCTCTCGCCTCGACTACTGCAACTCCCCCCTCATTGGCTTACCTTTACATAGGCTATCCCCCTTCCAGTCCATCATGAATACTGCTGCCAGGCTCATCCACCTTTCCAACTGTTCAGTGTCTGCTACCCTTCTCTGCCAATCCACTGGCTTCCACTCGCCCAATGAATAAAATTCAAAATAATAACAACTAATTACAAAGCCATCCACAACTCTGCCCTTAGCTACATCACTAACCTGGTCTCAAAATATTTATCAAAACTGCTCTCTTCGATCCTCCAAAGACCTTCTGCTCTCTAGTTCCCGTGTCACATGCTCCCATGCTCGCTTCCAGGACTTCTCCAAAAACTTCTCCTGTCCTATGGAGCTTCCTACCCCAACTATCTTCTAATCTGTCCACCTTTAGACGATCCCTGAAAACCGTTCCCTTTAAAGAAGCCTATCCTGCTTCTAACTAGTAAACTGCTTTTCATTTACCCCAGCTCATCCCCCCACAGCTATTACCTTTTGTATTACTCAACCCTTCCTCCTATTGTAAGCTCTAACGAGCAGGGCCCTCTGTTTCCTCTTATACCAAATTGTATTGTAACTGTTATGTCTACCTTCATTTTGTAAAGCGCTGTGCAACTGTTGGCACTATATAAATCTTGTACTATATAAGTAATAATAATAAATAATAACATACATGGTGACTGAGAGCTTTTTTTTAGGATTGATGAAAAAAAAGGCATTAGTTAGAGGAGGTGGATTTGCAAACATAATGATCCAATGAGGAGTTAACCTAGAATTCTTTTTTTTTTTTTTTACAAAACTACTGTGCCATTATATATTCACAAATTTCTACTAACATTGTTACAAAGTAGATGTAAAACATTAATTTTCAAGTTTATGGCTCATTTCACATACTCCAAACTAAGCATAATTTTTATGAGTACTTATACAATTTTGCGAGACATGTTGGTTAGCATAAATTGGCTATGAATCATTCCGCCGATTCCTAAAGCAGTTTTGTTTCTAAAGCAACAGACATATTTTATTTCATATAAAGCACTATCACAGAGTTGTTTTACCTTTGCAAACTAGATAAAAAAAAAGAAGGTATCATACACCCATGTGAGTCTATATGCCAAGGCAGGTATCTCCAGCCGCTGCACATATGCTAATTGCTAGCAATTTAGGATGGCCTAGTTTAGACTGCATAGAATTTTTCCCCCCCTCTTCTGAGAG